TTTCAATTTTGCTGCTTTGAAAAGGCAGAAGCCGTTTTTCGTACCAACGTACGAGATGACTTATCATAAGTATCCTATGTTCGCCTAGGTAAAGTGTCTCGATTTTCGATTTCTATATCTCAAACGAGATGCCTGTTTGAGTCATACTCAAATCCAAAATATGAGTTCGTTTGCTTCTCTTGCTGAGAAATGCGGATCAAAACACTGATTTTGTACCCATTTTAGCTGATAAAACCCAGATCAAATCAGATGTGTTCAGTAATTTGTTTATATCTCTGACTTCGTTCGGTCGCTTTGGCTGGGAGTGGTCTCACGAGGGAAGGTATCCAAGTGTGACGCGCCGTTTTGAATCGCATATATACGAGTTTGTAGAGCTCGATGAGACTAGACAAAGCCTACAAGGGTTCGTCCCCATACCTTGTACTTCTTGAGTTTTGACCGTTTTACTGCATTTTCGACCTATGGCAAGGCTTATAAGAAGAAATCGAATTACGAGATTTTGACCTGAAACTTTGCCCACAGATAGCTCTCATAGCCATTAGAATGTCCTAAAAATTTCAGCTCAAAAGAATGTTTTCTTCTTGAGATACTGAACATCTGAAATATGGTCATATGTCACGAGCAAAGGCAGAAAATCAAGTGTCTTTATTATCCAATATCTCAAGAAGGAAACATTCTTTTGAGCTGAAATTTTTAGGACATTCTAATGGCTATGAGAGCTATCCGTGGGCAAAGTTTCAGATCAAAATCTCGTAATTTGATTTCTTCTTATAAGCCTTGCCAAAGGTCGAAAATGCAGTAAAACGGTCAAAACTCAAGAAGTACAAGGTATGGGGATGAACCCTTGTAGGCTTTATCTAGTCTCATCGAGCTCTACAAACTCGTATATATGCGATTCAAAACGGCGCGTCACACTTGAATACCTTCCCTCGTCAAACATTATAATCCTTCTTAGGCTACAAATTCATTGTAGACGATCGATCCATTATCTCTATCAAGGATTGTCACAGGTGAGACACGACTATTTTGGACCAGTGTTTATTCGTATCTTTGTCGATATCTTGCCGATAGCGTTCTTTGATGATGAGATGTCTTCGGAGAGTTTCCGTGGAAACTCAATTAAACCTCGACGAGGGAGATATAGAATATATAGGAGATATAGAGATATAGGAGACATAGTAAACAGTTATTTATTTTTTATGATTGATTTTTTCGAGCAAGAGTCGGTAAGTTGAATGAATATATCTGAATAGATCGCTATAAAAAGTCAAGCACTATATAAAGATTATCTGCACTAGTTAATCAATATCTCCAATATCTCTTATATCTCCTATCTCTCCTATCTCTCTATATCTCCTATGTCTCAAATATCTACTATATCTCCTCCGCGGATGTTTAATTGAGTTTCCGAGGAAACTCTTCGAAGACATCATATGTCTTTGATCGAGAAAATGGATCGATCGTCTACAATGAATTTGTAGCCTAAGAAGGGTTATAACGTTTGAGATCACTCCCAGCCAAAGCGAACGAAGTCAGAAATATTGAAGACCGGAATTTCGGCTCAAGAAATTTTCGACCCACTCCAGAATCTCAATGGAAATTTCGGTCGAAGCCGAAAGTCATACATAACATTAGGTTTCAATAAAAAAATCTTTCCAAACTTTCGGCTCAGGCCCAAATCCACCGCATAATCTGCATAAAAAGTGACATTTCTACGGATAAGTGATACCCTGCATAGTGCTGAACAGGATGAAAGTGTATGAAGCAGAACAGCGTAACGCTCAGCAGGATGATACAGGGTATATCACTAGAATAATGTGTTGAACAAGACAACATAGTGCTGAGCAGGACGACGCCCTGCTTGTTTTTCTTTTATCCTGCTCAGCAGTATGCAGTGTACCAGCAATTAACAAAAACACAAGTTTTTATGGAAATCAATCAATATTCATAGAACCAAAAATCCAAATGGTACTGAGATCCGGTCCGAAAGTCCGGTGAAAATTAGGGTCCAAGACAAGCTATTTTTTCTTTTTCAACATGACTTTGGGCCCAGGCCGAAAATTTCTTGGGGTGAAATTCATGTAACCCGACAAAATCATCAATGAAAAATAGTTAGATGATAATCAACAATCTATAGAAAAGAAAGGAGATAACAATCAAAATAATGTTCGATTTTATCTCTAAGAGGAATTTATCAATCTTAGTCTGCAGCACTTGCTTCATTTCATTTATTCAGTTTTTTTTCGATGCTTATTTTGTAAACTAGAATATACTTGATGTGCTTTTGTTAAAGTGTTATCATTAATCAAATGAGTTGTTTATTTTATATTTCTAATCGCTTTGTTATATTTTGCAATCAATAATAATAAGTTGTGTCTATTTTATGACAATAAATCGTTTTTACAGCGTAATCATATTGCACAAGCAAACCTTTGTAACATATTATTATCCTGATTTCTTCAGCTTTCAAAAAGTATTATCCAATACCTATTGTTTGTCGTTTAATTCTTCTCTCTCTCTCCATGGATAAACGTATAGTTTGAACGATGGATTAATCAAAACGATTCTTGGAATATTCATATGGATATATTTTTTGAATAATGCCTTGGGGAAAGAATGAACGACATAACCCATCTGCAACAAGCAGTCAACAACAGCAGCAAACTAATAAATGTTTGAATTCACCAACAGTAACAACTGGACTTGATGAGTCATCAATGTCCACAGACGCAATCAGTTTGGTAAGTAACATCACATTCTGATGACATCTATTCTAATGATTGGCATATATTCTGATTCGCTGTATGCTATCCCTTGAGGGTGTTCGAAATTCTTCGAAATTCCATTCTATGTCTATATTGTTTGTACTTAAATTATCACTGTTACTCTAGCCATCAAAACATATGTTACTGTTAAAATAATAAAAACAGAATGAGGATGGAGAAAAAGAGACAGAAATGAGAAAGGATATACTTAGTTTTATTACTTAGCATGCCATTCACGATCTTTTGTCGTGGTCTTAACGAACATTTGTTATCATACATTATATGATGACATGCGAAGTTTAGTAAAGAAAAACATGCGAATATAATCAAATGACAATTCGTGCACTAATTAGTTATGCTAACATAGCAGTATATGTGGACAAATAAAGATATGCATATATTTCATATTTAATAGAAAACTGTCAGTATGGAATAGTACTGCTTAAGATAATGATTGATCATTCAAATAATGAAGTAAATAAAAAGTAATAGAAGAAAAAACAACAACCAATCTCTTCAATGATGTATATCTTTATTACGTTAACTAATTGCGTGAAACTATTGCTTTTGAATAGAATTCCACCATGTTTCAAAAAATAATCGTCTTGATTGATCTGCTTGAGTTTCACATGCTTCTGCTTGACGTAGAACTTCATCTACATCGAGATTTCTATATGCTTCTGGTCGATTTTTACGCGTTCTTTGTACCAATTCATTAAATTCAGTAAATGATACGTCTGGATGAAATTGTACACCAAGTGCAGAACCGATTCGATAAGCGGCAATATAATTCTTTGATGTATAAGCTAAAATCGATGCATTTGATGGTAAATCGAATGAATCTCGATGATGCATAATCCATAATGGTTTATTTTGTTGTTCTTCAAATACTTTTGACATAACTGGATCATGTTTTCCTTCAGATGTCAGTTCATATTGAACATAACCAACTTCATAACCATATTTTCCTAAATGACAATGTCCACCAATAGCATCAGCAAGTAATTGTGCTCCGAGACATAACCCCAGAATCGGTGTATTCAAAGCAAGTTGAGCAGCAAGATATGATTTTTCCCACTTTAAATATGGATATATATCATCTTGGTATGAACCTTGTGGTCCACCAAGACTAACAATAGCTGAATAATTATTTGTATTATTATCTGGAAATTCTGATTGAAAATCAGGATCAAAAATAGGAAGAATTTCGAATGGAATATTATTTTCAGAGAAGAATGTTGTTATATAAGCAAGATGAGCACCTACTGAATGTTGAATAATGAGTACTTTTTTCGACATAATCTTGAATGATATCAAAATGAATAAGAAATTGTTTATTTTATAATATATCGAGACATCAGTAAACAAAAACAAACAAACATATGAATCATTCGAAAGCAAGAACGAATAATAAATATCGAGAATTCATTCTAGAATGAATATGAACTTGAAAAGATGTCTAATGTCCGTTTCAAAATATAATGCGTCCCGCTGTTTTTTGAAAAACTCAAGAACGCAATCAGCTAGAGACCTGTGGTTTTCACCAATCGAAAGAAGAGACAGGGGGGTGGGGGGAAGGCGTCTTTTTCTCCAATAGCGTATCAGACGGAATCATTTTGAAATCAGTCATCCCTTCATAACATCGAAAAAATGGTCTGTCATTCAGATGAAATTTTGACAAAAAGTAAAAAAATTTGCTTCAAAATCAAAAGAAATTCATATTTTTCTTGCGAGTAAATAGACGATTTTATTTGCTAAACGTTAGGATGCGGTAAGATAATCATTCGAATTATATCCTGAAGTATAGATCCGACGTCCCTCTATCTAGATCACATGTCAAAAGAAAAATTTCTTCAGAATGCTGGGTCGTTTTCATGCATGTTTTGCAATGTTTTGCAGAAATGACTGATTCTAAAATGATTTTGTCTGATACAATATTGGAGAAAAAGACGTCCCCCTGTCTATTCTTTCGATTGGTGAAAACCACAGATCTCTAGCTGATTGCGTTCTTGAGTTATTCAAAAAACAGTGGGACGCATTATATTTTGAAACGGACATTAGATGAAAGTGTAAGTTTATATGTTAATTCAAATATTGGTGTTGGTTATTATTAATAATTATGGGAATAATAGTGCGTGTAACTATTATCAGTTACACATCGCATAATTTAATTAATCTTTTTTTTTTTTGATTAATAAAACAGTACTAATGCTACCTAACAAAACATAATTCGGAATGTTTATATACATTATATCTAATCTCTCTCATATACAGCCTGATGTCAATGATGACGATGGAAGTGGCAATGATGATGGTGAAAATTCATTGCCGTTTGATAATGTTCGTCGAATTACGTCTAATTTTAATCAACCACCAATAAAAAAAAATAAAAGTCTTCGACGTCGAGAAACAATTGATACAGTTCGAGGTCGACAATATCGAACAGCTTTACAACAATTACAAGATTTGTTTTGGCCTGCATGAACAATGCATCACACTATTATTAATAATAATCAATTAAATGAACATGAACAACAAACTACTAATATACAACGTTCATTAAGTGTTCATGAAAATAATCAAACTATTATCAATGATAATCTGAATGAACAACGTATACGACATTGTATTCAACGACACTCGGATACGATGGTTGTTGTATAAATTTTCTGTTCTTTTTTTCTTTATTGTTTTGTTATCTGTGTTTAACGATATCCTTTTTTCCAAATGATGTTAGATCGTTTTTTTTATATAGTACAACCAACAAGCTGAATATATAGAAATGAAAATGATTTTTTATTTTTATACAGAAATGAAAGAAGAACTGAAAAAAAAAGATTTATTTATCAAGACGATGATAAACACTAATACTATAAGAACATATAACTAATATAGACATACATTGGCATTTAATATTATCTCTCATCAGTCTACCGCTTATCCTATCATGTGAGAAAAATAAGCTAGTCTATTTATTTCCGATAGTTTGTTTTGATCATTCAGTAAAAGAATGTGCAGATATCTAAGTTGATGTTAACTTCGATAAATAGAATCGACAGATATTCGCAAGTGAAATAAAAAAAACGGAAGGTAAACTAAGAGATTTCTGGTTATCATCATATTAAAATGTGACATTAAGAAAATTATGCACAAAATATTTTGTGTTTGATAAAAACTAGAAAAGTAATTTTATTCTTACCCATCCGGTTGTAAAGGTTGTTTTTCAAATACACAACACGTGCATAATAAAAAAAACAACAGAGAAAAATGAGTTAAGAACTATTCTTATCAATGTAAAACAGAGATTACATTGAATTAAAATAGAACGACGGACAGAAAACCGACTTATATATGTGTGCTTTAGTTGTTTGTCTTAAAGAGAAGGTCTACCAGAGGAACAGTTGAATAAGGCAGAAAAAAGAAACACGGAATGAGATTCAGAGAGAGAAAAAGCATTACTTTCTTTCTTTTTTTCTTTCGTTGTCATACAACAAATGCTATTCGTTTCTTTTTCTTTTCGCTGTTTCTTTTCCTCAATGAGGGTGTGGGTGTGGGTGTTGTTGTACATGAAGACATCACACACACGTACACCCACGCACCCACACCACACACCCACATTCACACCCTGAATGTTATTCAAGGGAATTACTACACCCAAACACCCCACACACCCACCTCACACCCCATCCACAACCAGAGCCACACCCGCATGTCGATCTCTATCAGTTGAGATCGGGAAAGTTTAATTTAGAAACGAAATTTGTGTTTGAAATCCCTCGCAGATCCCTAAGGGTGAAAAAAAGAGAAGTTTTAAAATTTTGACATTTGAACGGAAGAAGAATTATTTGAAACAACCTTCGATTTCTCTGCAACTAGAAGTTTTATCAATATTGTGCAGCAAAAAAATAGCCTGACTATTGTATCTTCTTTCTCAGTCTGTTTCTTTGCCGGACGTCAACATACGTAAAACGGATTGTGTATAACAAAGCTAGATTGCCAACCCAATGAAAATCTATTCATGGAAACAGTGAAGATAGAAAAAGTTCAACTGACTTCTTAATCTGATTCTAGCCGGTTCTACATAATTCCAAGAGATTGACGTTAATTTGAGATGGTTCCGAGTGTCCTTAAATGGCTTACTTAAATCTTACTGCTTGTTTTGGACTCAAATACTCTGGATTCAGCTATTTCGCCTTTGTCAGAACCTCCACAATGTCATGAAAATATAGAAATACTATTTAGTTTCGAACAGCGAAGGAGTTTTATTCGAATTTATTTACCAAGAAATATTTTAGAAATGTATGATCTCAACAGGATTCAATGAATCTAGTACGCTATTTCACATAGATCAGAACATTTGAGTGATATTAGGTTTATTCATCTAACAATTTATATAAATTCTTCATTGTTTTGTTAATCGAGCAATGAATACATTGATACATTAAAAATTAAATCATGTCGGCCGATTAATTTAAATATACAGGATGTTCTAAAAGTTCGCCAAAGAAGTTAATGTAAATATCTTTTATATTATTCATACAAATCGACTATTTTATTCTATGTAGTTGTATGTTTTTCGCAGTTTTGTTCTTTATGTTCTTGGATAAATGTCTGTGCCTATCAACATTAGAATAGAAACAGTTACGTTACTGGTCATAGTTAAGCCACCTATTGTTGTGTAGCGAAAAGTAAAAGTCAACTTTGATAAAAACACACGAAACAATGCTTAAATTATAGCAATATTTCAATCTTTTTGTGAAACTACTTAGTACAGTAGAAAATTGAGAACATTCTGAAAGCACGTCAAAACTAAAGAACAAAGAAAAGAATTTTCAAAGTTAATGATGCTTGTGGAAATCAAACACAATAGAATGCTCTCGTTGTTGCAACAGTCTGCTTCATTCCACCAACAATAGTATACTGAATTATGACTGATTATATGTCATTAAAACCGTGCAAAGCGCAGTTTCTTCAACAACTTTATAAAAAAGATTTACAAGATAATGTTCAAATGTGTAAAACTCTGATACCGATGTTAGATGACACTGACATTGAGGAAAATATATTATTTCCTGACGTAGTCTTTTTTAATTTAAATGACTTGTCAATAAATGTAAAATAGCATCTCAGATGTATAAAAATTATATACAGATCTGGTTGAATTCAAAATGAAAACTGAGAACGGAAATAGATTAATTTAAAAATAAACTTTCAGTAATATTTTTCTTCTAACTTTGAGAAGAATGAATTCATATATTTCAGTTGATAAAAATCATTTTGACTGTTTATTTCCAACTAAACTCTGTGAAACGAAAGCTCAAAGTGCATGCTATCAGATTATTAAAAAAACAATCAATATCGGTTGATTTATATAAGAAACATTTAAGGTAATTTTTCGGCGAACTTTCGGAACATTTTATCTATTAAATATTATAATATTTATATTGCTTAATTAAGTTTTGATTCATTTAGGCTTATTGGGATTTGTTTCTTCCAATATCCTACTTATAGAATATTACTTAACCAATCAACAACATAAAGTCATTGAAAGCATGCAGCAATAAAAGATTAAATGTTATGTTATAATTTTGCTTCTTTTCTAATGCGTGATTTTTTTTTAAATTAATTATACATTTCCATGAATGTTACATTATAAAAAAATTTATTCAACTGCACATTATTATACACGCTGACATAACATAGTTTACAGGACTCAACATATTTTTTTTTTATTCGACTATGATGAAGGCTACACTAGATTCATGATAGAGTACATGGAATTCTAAGAATCAAAGTACACAATATCCTCATAGAATGTGTTTTGACAACGATGTATTACTCATTCATGTAAAGAAATATTTGTTTTTTTTTTCAATTGCGTTAAACATGCGTATTTTTTCATGATGTCTAAAATAGAGAATATCTGATTCATAGTACTGCTCACAAATTGCGTTGTTTATATTCTCATTGAAAGAATCAGTATGTGCTGTTTCTTATTTTGTTTCGATAGTCTATACGATATATAACCGATTGGTAAGAAGAAAGCCTATCATTTGATCTAGTCTTTCTCTCATTGTTATTAACTTTATCTCTGTATTCTTCTGCATTTACTATAGAGACGTAATTGTACATCATCGAAATGCAATACAGACAAGGACGTGAAAACTTGAATACGATGAATCCTTCTAACATAGCTGTTTCCATAAAATTATCATTGGCCGAAGATCTTCAAATACAACGAGCTCGCAATATTCTTTCAATCATTCTTCGCATTTTAAATGTGAGTTTTATTTTGATTATAGTTGAACTATAATAAAAGAAAAACAATATAGGTGTTGTTTTTGTTTTATTTGAAACATAGGCTTAAACCTCGAAACACGATGTTGTTTCTCTTACTTATCATCGGAAGATCATTCTAATCTATTCTACAACCTAACTTATTTGTAAACCATTTCTGCCTGCATGATTGAAATCAGAAAATAGTTCATATATTGTAATAACACATTATTAATATATGGTCGTTCATCATAAATCAAGAAGATTTCCCACATTCGGTGGCAAGATTCCAGAATATCTGTCACGGCCGGCATCCGGAGGGGAGGTTCAAATTTCTGTCCTATATACTCCAATATTCTCTTTAGATCGTGTTTCACAAAAAAAACTGCTTTGATTATTCTGTTCAAAAAAAACCAAAAAACAAAAAAAAAAGTGAAAAATTAAAATACATAGGCATACAAAACTAAGAATGTTTGGCCTACGAAGAAATTCTCCGAACGGATTAATCGTGTTTGATTCGACCTTATGTTCTTCATGTAGACCTTAATGAGCTATGAATACTCTGAAAAATTCCAAGTCCTGTACTTATTGCCTCTGATATACTGTATTTTTAAACGAATGTCGTGATCGCTCCCATAAACACAAAGGAAACTCATTTTTGAATTTTGACTAGAAAATTTCCATAAAGAAAAGACTTACCGAGAAGAATCTATTGTAAAAGTTTCAATTCCTTTGATTTGGTTCTATCCTGAAATAAAAACACTGAATCTGCTAGTGTATGACTGAAGAGCACAACTATTGTACTCATGGAGTAAAAAATATCGAAGAAACTAAATTTAACAATAAGAAAAAACAAAGTGTTGTGTTTTATAGAGTGATATCCATGGTATATGAAAATAATATTTTTCCAGCAATTCTCTATGTCGAAGTCGATTTCTGCATGCTATTTTCATATATCCATTGGTCTCAGTGTATAAAATGCTTTATAAATATCGTTCTATACAATTGCTAGTGAAACTAACTTTTCTCTCGAAAGGAGAAAGCTTTTTACTTGATTTTTTGAGATATTATTCTACTATATGAGTTGACAAAATGCTTAGTATTTATTGAGTTATTGCGATAATAAAATTAAACAAGTCGCTCTACATAAACATGCAAATCATTTAGATTTTGTTTGAAACCTCTTTTTGAATCAAGTTTATGGAGCA